ATGAAGGAATACGGATCTTAGAGAGAGGACGGATAAGTGCTCGCTTCCACTGAGATGGAAATGAAGAAGTTTCCAATGAACGGTTGAATAAGGTAGTTAGAAACGATGAAATTGTAGGCCAAGCTATTCGCAAAATATAGAGAGGTATGCCGTCTGACCCTGACGCATAAGAATGAAGAGGTCCCACAGAAATGAGTCTATGGACCATATCTAGCGTTATAGTGGAGAAAACAAACTCCGGACGATGGGATGAACAAACTACCTGGTCTATAGCAAAAATAAAATCAGTGTATGAGCAAGGTAACAAATCAGCAGAAACTGAAATGTAAAAAGAATTTAATTGATCTGGTGTGAAAAAATGTAGAGGAGAAACCAAGGTTGATTTTACAAGACCGAGGCGAGCCAACTCTCTCCAAAGTTTTGCTGGATCAGTAATGTTTTTGAAAGAATCAAATTGAAATTTGCTTTTGGCACGTTTAATGTTGGCATTCAGTTGGTTGCGAAAAAGTCTATAAGTAGTTACCCCGTCGCATTTGTAATTCTCGCGCGAAACGTCGGCGGATCGCGAGCAGTCAAATCATGCGACTTACCTGTCGGTGCTGCCATCGCCCACCCGCCGACGGCAGCGACTCTCCCCCGGAAAGGGAACAACTACTCGCCCGCGGCACATTTCAGGACCGCGGGCACTCATCGTTCAGAAGTCCGAGAACACATTAGTCTCGAGCTCTCATCATCAAGTCGTCTTCCGGCCTCCATCGTCACGGAGTCGAGCAGGACGGACCAAAATCGCCCCGCCGCCTCGCTTAACTAGGAGTGTGCATTTTTCCCACTGCTTTTCTTTCCTGCTTGCTCTATTGCTTGCTCTCCACTGCTTGCTTGTTGCACATGCTTGCCGTTGCATGCCGGACGAGACGAGACCCACGGAGCGGCCACGAGTTCAGAGGACAGGACGAGGCCCGGCGGACTCACGGGGACGACGGCCGACACGGTCGCTTCGCTTTATTATTTCGCTGCATGCGCCTTTGCCTTCGCGAAAACAGATTGTGAGGGAACCGTTTGTCCCTCTGGTCCTTCGAGCAAACGCATTAACCTTTCGCAAATCTTGCTTCCGGAGCGAAACAATCCCCGTACACCATCATTATTAATAACAATAGAGCAAGGGCGGCAGTATGGACTAGTGGTAGAGCGCCAGACTCGTAATCTGAGGAACCATCAGGTTCGAGTCCACTAGAGCCATGTAAACATAGAAAGTTTTTTCCGAAAGCTGCGCGCAAGATAGGCTCTTGTGCGGATCAAACTGGGCTCCGTCTTTTGGAAAGAGACGTTAAGCCGTTGGTCCAAAGGGATAAGCGAGATACTACCCTCTCGGAGAAGGGTAGTATTGAATGAGAATTGAATAAAGGGTTGGGAACATCCATACAAAACGCTTTGCAACCCTGAGGGGAGTTAATAAACGTATTTATATTTTTATCTTATTAATAACAATGGTTTCGTTGAATTTGATTGATATCATAATTTAAATTATAATTTCTGTTACCTTGTCTCTCAAAAGCGTCGTACCATCATGGGACTCATAGACCGAGCTTTTTTATTTTCTCATCCAAAATTCGACAAAAAAAATCTGGAATTTATTGTAAGCATTTTTTTGAACAACGATTACCCCTTAGATTGTATTTTTAACACAATTCACGAACGTCTTAAAAGTCTCTTTTTTAAACAAAACTAAAAACAAAATTTTGACGAGACACTTGACAATGGTGTGAAGGGAACGTGGTTTACCATTCCTTTTTTTCATCCATTTTTAGTCAATTTCAAAGATATTTTTAGGGAATCAGATACAAAATTATCATTTTACAACGCCAATAAACTAAATAAATTTCAGAAGAATGCTCTCCCGGTTTTCGCAAAGAGTAACGTTGTCTATAAGATCTCTGGCCGAGATTGCGACGTATCATTCGTGGGGCAGACTGGCAGACAATTAAAAACTAGAATATTTGAAAATCGCAGTCATATCCACAGAAACAGTTCCGTCCACTCCGTGATTACTGATCACAGAATCCAGAATGATCACGATTTCGATTGGTGTTACGGAACCGCATTATAAACGCTGTACCAAGTCGTAATTCGGCGCGACAATAGGTAGCGCATTTGACCTCGCGCGCCCAATGAGACGAGCGGCGCGCACTCTGTGCGGCACCACTTTCCACCTATCGCGGCAACGTGTTTAAACCCGGCGAACCAATCGACGCGATCATCACGAGTACTTTGGATTAAAACTCAAAGTCACTTGTGAAATAACAAACAACGGCGATTTTGGAAGCGGAAATTTCTGGACGTTTCGCTGAGATAATAGCGTGTCCCCTTTCTGATCCCTCGAAAGTTCTCGAACCTTTTTGGTATAAAAGCGGGACCGGATGGCGCGCGATCTTTTTTGCAAATTCGCTGATCCGCGCGATAGCCCATGTATCTCGCTTGCTCCTAAAATCAGTTTCTTTGTAGAAAAAGTAATCTTTATTAAACTGTATATATTGTAAATATTAAATTTGAACAGTTAAACTTAATAATTCACAAATGTCGCTCTCTTATCTAATCATTGTGCCGTCTACCTGCTGCTGAAACATTTGGTCCTTCGAGCCGGATATCATTTCCAGTACGGCAATCTCTTCTCATTTTTTCAAGAGGCCCAGACGATTAATTGAGGTGACTCTTAAAAAAAACAGAAAATGGAGCAGTTAATTGCGGCGCAACATGAATTGTACGCGCGCATGACCCGCACGTATGATAACCTAAAGAAAGCGGGAGCAGCTAAAATTACTCGAGCGCTCATTGCTTTACCTCTTAAGGGCCTCGACACCAAATGGAAGAAGTTCGAACGCAATCACGAGATCCTCCTCAAAGATTACAGAAAGAACCTCACTGAACACACTTACCTGAAAGAAGACCTTTTCGAGCAAGCCGAAAACGTTTATGTGTACCAGAGATCGGTGCTGCTCGAAGTGGAGGAAACCTTACCCGGAGCGAAGGAACACAAGCCCACACCAGGGGACACCGCCAATTCCAAGACGACATTACCACGTATCCAGCTGCTGAGCTTCACCGGGAAGTACGAGGATTGGCCCTCATTCCGAGATCTCTTTGTGTCCCTCATCGGTCGCGATGCAGCCGTCATCGACGTGGAAAGGCTTTATTACCTGAAGGCGTGCCTGAAAGAAGAAGCGGAGCACTTGGTCAAGAACATTCCTACCACTGCGGAGAACTTCGGTCGAGCAGCATTCGGTGGTTGGCACTGCAGGAATTCTACGAAAACAAGCGGCTGCTGGTGAGGTCGGTCTACTCCACGTTTACGTCATTTATGAAGATGAAGGGTGAGTCAGCTACAGATCTACGTAAATTATACCACCGAGTGACTAGTACGGTCGGAGCGCTCGAAGGGATCGGTCGACCTATCACGAGCTCCGAAAATTTGTTCGTGTTTCTCGCGGTAAAAATGCTGGATGCTCGGTCGCGGTGCGAATGGGAGAATTCGTTAAACGATACCTCAGTTCCTCCGAATTACACGTCGCTTAAGCAATTTCTCGAAAGCCGTCTGCATACCTTGGAGGCCGTTCAGGGAGTTAAGAGTAAGAGCAACGCGACCAAGTCAGATACCACTTCGCGAACTGCGCGCGCACATCATGCGGGAAATAAAGAACGACCTAAGAGTAAGAGCTCCTGTCTCTTTTGTCACGGCAATCACTTTATCATGGTGTGCGCGACCTACAAAGCGAAATCTGCAAACGAGCGAAAACAATTTGTAGAAGCCAACAACTTGTGTATAAATTGTCCGGCAAACACCGAGTGGCCGATTGCCCTTCAAAGCGTACCTGTTCAGTTTGCGGAGAGAAGCATCACTCGTCCCTGCACGATGCGTACCAAACTCAAGGAGACATTTCCCGCCACGACGTCACATGCGGCACAACCTCTGTCAACCTCGGGACAGACTATTATCCTCGCGACAGCACGAGTTTGGGTACCTGACTGGTTTGGTGCGCTCAATTTCGTGCGCGCGTTGCTGGACCAGAGCTCCGAAGCATCGTTTGTATCCGAGTCGCTCGCTCAACGCTTTCGACTAAAACGCGTGGTTACAACAGTCAGAGTATTCGGCATCGGCGGGCAACAGACTGGTGTTTCGCGTGGGGCCTTAAATGTCGCGATCTTACCGTCAACAGGGAATACCCAGATTTCAGTACACGCGTTTATTCTGCCTCGTCTGACGGCGTATACGGGAGCGACGAAGGTCAAGGCGAATCCGTGAGCCCATCTGATGGGCTTGACTTTGGCCGATCCGGAGTATGCTTCAAACGAGCCCATTGAGCTGTTGCTCGGTGCGGAAGTCTTCTCTACCATACTGCAGGAGGGTATCCGTAAGGGTGGCCCTCGAGAACCTGTGGCGTAGGAAACTTTACTAGGATGGCTCATTTCCGGCATTGCGGATGCCGTTAACCCGGCGGCACGAACTACCGTTCACCACTGCGCGTCCGACGACGAGCTCATTAAAATGGTGAGGCTCTTTTGGGAGCAGGAGGAGCTGCCACGAGTCGGGGTCCTCCTCACTCCAGACAAACAAGTCTGCGAGAACTTGTTTGTTCAAATTCACTCTTGTTCCTCCGACGCCGACGGCAGGTACACCGTGTGGCTGCCTCTGAAAAGTTCCCTGCCAGATCTCTCAGGGACGCGTCACACTGCCGCTCACTGTTCCGGATGGAGGTACGATTCCAGCGTGATGTCGAACTGCGACAGCAATATGTTCAATTCATGCAGGACTACAAATTACCTCAACACATGATACCCGTTGAGAAATACGAGGGTGCTCCTCGTAAGGTATGCTAACTCCCACATCATGGCGTACTCAAGGCAGCGAGTACCACCACCACACTTCGGATTGTGTTCAACGGCTCCTCTTCATTGCCTTCGGGAGCGTCGTTAAACGATCATCTGCTGGTAGGACCCAACCTACTGTCGGCTCTATCAGACATCCTCCTCCCCTGGCGGTGGTATCTTTACGTCACTTTACTTTGTCACTGACATCGTCAAACCGTCAGATCCTGGTACATCCGGAGGACCGTGATCTACAACGGATTGTGTGGCGTTACAATCCTCAGATGACTATCCTAGAATACATACTAAACACGATTACTTACGGATTGGCGTGTGCTCCGTTCCTCGCTGTCCGTACGCTAGATCAGCTTACCGAAGATGAGAAAGCTCGGTTTCCGATAGACACTTCGGCGTAGCCGTAGCAGATACGTCGACGACGTCGCCTCGGGTGCCTCCACACTCGCTAAGGCAATCGAAAAACGAGACGAGTTGATAAACATTTGCAAGGCGGGCGGCTTCCCGCTGAAAAAATAAGCTGCTAATGACGCGGCTCTGTTACAAGGCATTTCGGATCCATGACAGAACGTCCAAAAAAAAATATCCCACGACAGAACATCCCGCGACAATATGTCCAAAAAAATAATATCCCCGTGACAAAACTTCCCACGACACAATCGGCACATGAATTATGTCATTGTCGGTTTTATTACGGTATTACATTAGTACATGCGTTCATACTAATATATGACCATTACCAATTTAGGTAATTCTTCAGAATAGGGCTTTTTCCGAATTTTGATATTTTCTTGCGGTTTTCTTGGTAAAAACCTTTGTTGTGACTCCGACAGTGATAATCAATCGGGGGAGCCCGAAAAATATGCACCCTACCTATTTTTTTTCCTATTTTAGTAAATCTGAAGGAAAGCTCACTCCTCTCCGATTTCGATGAAATAAGGCTCAATTAAAGCGTTTTTGCTCAAAATGACTAAAAGTATTTAGTGCGTGAACCTCGGTTCGCGTGGAAAGTGTATGCGTGAACTATTTCGGGACTACCGCACCTCCCCCGAAAGCACGGGGGGGGTGTGCGTGAACCTCGATTCGCGTGGAAAGTGTATGTGTGAACTATTTCGGGACTACCGCACCTCCCACAAAAACACGGGGGGGGGGTGTGCGTGAACCTCGGTTCGCGTGAAAAGTGTATGCGTGAACTATTTCGGGACTACCGCACCTCCCCCGAAAGCACGAGGGAGGTGTGCGTGAACCTCGGTTCGCGTGGATAGCGTATGCATGGAGGTGATAGGTTCCGCCCCCCTGCGGGGGGCTCCACTATGGTTAAACTACACACATAGTATGCCTTCAAAGTACATGCGTAGGCTTTCCACGCGTGGAAAGTTATGAACCCATGTGGCTCCTGGTTTCGCGTGGACGTCTTGTCGCAGGAAATTTTGTCACGGGGATATTATTTTTTTGGACATAATGTCGTGGGATGTTCTGTCGTGGGAAATTTTTTTTTGGACGTTCTGTCTGACTACCAGGCATTTCACCCGAAGACCGACTTCAGGATGTCCAGCGACCTTGGCAATTTTAGGAGTCCCAATCCTTGCTCAGAGTTTACTGGAATCCTGGTAAAGATGACTTCTCATTCATCATTAAAACGAAGGAGACGCCGCAAGCCAAATAAACAGTATCACTTACGGCACAGCTGTTCGACCCATTAGGCTGGCTCGCTCCGGTAGTGATCCGGACTAAGTTGTTCATCTAGGCTGCATAAATGCAAGGGATCGATTGGGATACTCCAATGCTCGCCGAGGATGCCACGAGGGTGCGGATTCCACGTTGGGTGAAACACGGACCGCCCGTGAGCTTGCTCGAGCTACACGGATTCGCGAACACCTCCGAGTGGGCGTATGTGGCGATGCTCTACCTGCGTGCTGAAACAGAGGAGGGCATTGTCACTACTCTGGTGTGCGCGAAGACAAAGGTTGCACCGATAAAGACAATTTCCTTAGCCAGATTAGAACTCTGCGCCGCGGATCTCTTAACGAAACTCACCAAACACACGCTTACTGTTTTTCAGCTCACGGTTCCAGCTCACTTATGGTCCGACTCCGAGGTTGTCCTCGCCTGGATTAGGTCTCACCCAGGGCGGTGGAAAACTTTCGTGGCCAACCGCGTGACGAATATCCAGACGACACTTCCATCCGTGCGATAGCACCACGTGGCAGGAAAGGACAATCTTGCTGACTGTGTTTCCCGTGGTCTGGCCCCGAGACAACTAGTGGACTACTAATTGTGGTGGAGAGGACCTCCATGGCTTACTACCACAGCCGGTCCGTGGCCGGCATCGGTCAAGCCCCCGAGCGCTGACGCAATGCCCGAGCAACGCACGATCCATGTGGCGGCTGGACCTACAGCGGAAGCCAAGCCTGAACTGTTGCTGCAATACTCATTGCTAAAAAAGCTGTTGCGTATTACCGCCTGGTGTCGACGGGCTCTCCAGGCACGATGCCCGGCTGACCAAGAGAAACCACGAGAGGGGACGATCCGAGCTGGCTGGACTCTGACGGCAGACGAGCTTGACACAGCATTATTGGTTTGGATCCGCAAGGTTAAAACTGCAAACTACAAAGAGGAATTAGCGGACGGTACCAACCAAAAGCCGCTAAAGCATCGGACATCTCTCGCCAAACTGCATCTTTTTGTCGACCCGCAAGGCGTCCTGCGAGTGGGAGGGGGCGTCTCAAGCCTGCACTTCTGGCCTATGACGAGAGGCATCCGATCATCTTGCCAGCTGCCTCGCGCCTCAACAAGCTAATCATAGAGGCCTATCATAAGAAAGTGCTTTACGACGGCGTGCAACTCACGCTAAGTGCTCTTAGACGAAAATTCTGGAGGGGCGTGCAGCAGTAAAGCGGTATATCCATCGCTGCCTTCCGTGTGTGCGATGGCGGGCGGCATCACCGAACCAGCTCATGGGTGACCTTCCGCAACCACGGGTCACTTCTTCACGACCGTTCCAACACACCGGAATGGACTACGCGAGCCCTGTCATGATGCGTAAATCAAAAGGGCGTAGACACAAAGCGTACAAAGCGTTTCTCATTATCTTTGTGTGCTTAAGCACAAAGGCAGTGTACTTGGACGTCGTCTTAGATTACACGGCTGAGGGCTTCATCGCTGCTTTCAAGCGCTTTGTCTCCCAACGAGGTCTTTGCCAGGTGATGTACTCCGACTGCGGCACTAACTTTGTAGACGTTGATTCTCAGTTCAGGGCTCTCTTCAAGACCAGCAGTGTCGAGGCATTTGCTCCTCACCGCATTTGCTCTTCTGTGGCTTCAGACCGTGTCCAGTGGCGCTTTAATCCACCATCGGCACTCCGCACTTTGGCGGAGTTTGGGAGACAGCGGTGAAATCCGTAAAACACCACCTGCGAAGAGTGTTGGGGGAGTCGACACTTACCTTCAAAGAGCTGTCCATGCTCTTAGCTCAAATAGAGGCATGCTTGAACTCCCGGTCCATTCAAGCATTGTCGAACGACCCTGATGATATCACCGCGTTAGCTCCTGGCCACTTTCTTGTAGGTTCCGCTGTTGTTGCTGTTCCAGAGCAGTCTCTCATAGAAGCAAAGAGCACTTACTTGACCCGTTAGCAATTATTGCAATACATGAGAGACCATTTTTGGGATCGGTGGTCAAAGGAGTACATACATACCTTCACTTAGCGGCCAAAGTGGTAGAAGGTCAATCAGGAGGTCACCGTCGGGCGCCTGTGTCTAATCCGCAGTGAAGCCACGCCGCCAACCAAATGGCTTTTGGCAAGGATTACCAAAATTCATCTGGCGACGATGGGTTAACTCGAGTCGTCACTGTCGAGACAGCCTCGTCGGAATTCACTCAGCTCGTGACAAAGCTCTTTCTCCTTCCGTGCCCTGACGATGACCCTCACGCGTGATATGCGACATTCTATCTCTTTAGTTTCTTTTAAAACTTAAAGGTTTATTGCATTAACAATTGATTCACAAACTCGTCGTACATACCATTAACTTCCGCGTGCGCTTACCTTTTTTTGGGTGCATACTTACGTTCGCCGCAGTTCGACAACTTAGGGAGCACACCTCACGTACTGACTATTCAACTATTCAATAAAGTTCGTGAATTATTACGTTCACTCACAATAATAATGCTTCGGTGCTTCACTTCACTTGATTGACTGCACTCATGTTTACATCTCACATTTATTCGCATAAATTGTAACGCCGATCATTTACTCGCGTCGTTAGTACACGCGACATCTGACTTAATTTCGTTAGATCATTAATGGGGCGGGCGGAATGTTACGGAACCGCATTGTAAACGCTGTACCAAGTCGTAATTCGGCGTGACAATAGGTAGCGTCACTTGGCCTCGCGCGCCCAATGAGACGAGCGGCGCGCCTTATGTGCGGCACCGCTCTCCACCTATCGCGGCGACGCGTTTAAACCTAGCGAACCAACCGACGTGATCATCACGAGTACTTTGGATTCAAACTCAGTCACTCGTGAAATAACAAACAACGGCGATTTTGGAAGCAAAAATTTCTCGACGTTTTGCTGAGACAATAACGCGTTCCCTTCCTGATCCCTCAAAGATTCTCGAACCTTTTTGGTATAAAAGCCGGAGCGGATAGCGCGCGATTCTCTTTGCAAATTTGCTTATCCGCGCGGTAGCCTCTGTGTATTTTGCTCGCTCCTAAAATCAGTTTCTTTGTAGAAAAAGTAATCTTTATTGAACTGTATATATTGTAAATATTAAATTTGGACAGTTAAACTTAATTTACAAGTGTCGCTCTTTTATCTAATCGTTGTGCCGTCTACCTGCTGCCAAAACAATTGGGAGTAGTAAGTAGGTAGGTATGGGGCGTCAAAACAAACCCCCTCCACCGACCCCTCCGGCGCCAGAAGCGTGGCCAGACAGTCTCCCCACGTGACCTTGGAGCGCTCTGATTGGCTGCCGCGTGAGGGGTGGGGGTAAAATGGAGCGATTTGATTGGATACCCCATACCTACCCAGCGTCTGATTAGTCCTCCTCTCCCTGAGGTGCCTAGTGTCTAGTGACTTTTTTGGGGACTGCACGTGGTGGAAGACTACGAGTAAAAAATGGCGGATTCAAATGGAGCGTTTTGATTGGATACTCCATACCTACCCAGCGTCTGATTGGCTCTTCCGCCTAGAGTGTCTAGTGTCTAGTAAATTTTTTTTTGAGTTTGCACGTGGTGGACGACTACAAAACAAAAATGTCGGATTCTAAATAGTAACTAAATGGCGCGTTTTTATTGGATACCCCATACCTACCCAGCGTCTGATTGGCTCTCCCGCCTAAAGGCTCCAGCGTCTTTTTGGGCCTGCACGTGGTGGACGACGCTGAAATCACGCGGAAAAATAGCGGAAGAGCCGGCCAGCGCCATTTTGGCGGGAGCACGACGCTAAGCTCAAAAAAGGATATGATGCTAAGATGCCGAAAACGGAAAGTGGAATTTTTAAGAACGTTTTGCCTTGAGGGGAGGGGGAAACAGGAACGGACAGGTTTGCTTTGTGACGTGATGGCGTATATGTCGTTTTTAGAGAATAGTTTTCACGATTTATGACCGTGTTTTTAAGACTTGAGTCTGGATAAAGAGTTTTCAAAATAATCAAATACGTGAGTCTTATTTCCTGGGGAAATAAGTGAGTAAAACAAGAACGGACAGGCTCGTATCGAGACGTGACGCAATCCAACCCTTTTTTGTATCGAAGGGTTTTTATAATTTATGTCCGTGTTCTTTTAGGACTTGGGTCTGGACAGAAACGGCCAGGCTTGTATCGAGACGTGACGCAATCCAACTCTTTTTTTGTATCGAAGGGTTTTTATGATTTATAAACGTGTTCTTTTTAAAACTTGGGACTGGACAGAAACGGCCAGGCTTGTATCGAGATCGACGTGACGCAATTTAACTCTTTTTTTGTATCGAAGGGTTTTTATGATTTATGAACGTGTTCTTTTTAGGACTTGGGCCTGGACAGAAACGGCCAGGCTTGTATCGAGACGTGACACAATCCAACTCTTTTTTGTACCGAAGTTTTTATGATTTATGACAGTGTTCTTTTTAAGACTTGGGTCTGGACAAAGAGTTTTCAAAATAATCAAATACGCCTGGTTTCTAAGATTTGCCCATGTAATACTTATTTCCTGCGAAAACGATGTTGTAAATCAGGAACGGACAAGTTCGTACGTGACGGGACGAAATTATTTCGTTTTAAATAAAAGTTTTTATTATTGAGCGCATTTAAAAAATTTACGAGGTAGATTTGACCAATTCTGAAAAAATAAGAGAAAAGGAATTTGTTGCGGAGAACGTGAGGATTGAAGAAAAATAGAAAAAAGTATAAGTTACAAAAAAAATGTTTATTACTACTGTAGGCGATTTTCCATAGACGTTGGTAACGGCCGACGCGCGGACCGTTGACGCGGTCGTGTTTATCTCGACAAGCTAGTCATTGTTGACAAAGTCAAGTCGCACGAACCGAGTTCGTGAATAGATGTAAGGACGCTGATCGCCGAGGCCGAGAGGGCCAGAGTCCCCTCAGCCAGCCGAATAGAAAGACGTCCGTGAGAGACAATAAGCCGAGGAGTCCACCCGCGAGACTTAGCGGTATTTCCGCATTGTAATAATCGTTCAGTGAATAAAGTGGCATTCGATACGAACATTCTCCTACTGACATTCCATCCCTGGCCATTCCCTACACTACAAATTCTTCTTCATAGGAAA